AGAAAAGGAGGTTAAAATTAAAACAATGACATTATTGTCTGCATTTATTCACCTTGACATGCAAATTTAAAAGGGAAGTAAATAAAATGTCAAAAAATGCATTTATTTTCATTAGGATATAGGAAGATCTGTAATTAATATGGTGTATTATGTAATCAACACATTAAAGTAGAATTGCTTTAAAGTCAAGGTTCTAGTGTGAGCACTTCTTTTTTACCAGCCCATTGGTGGCCGGAGGTTTTGACACCTATGTGGATTACAAGAACATTTACCATGCTTTACAGAAAAGCTGCCACGCTACATTTTTTTTAGGTTTGTCAGAAACCTGTGATGTATTGCACAAGTTAAAAGGGGAACAACTGTTCAGCAAGTGAATGAATACACTCGTCATAGAACATTTCAGTCATGAAAAACTGTTTCTGATGTGGAAAATTCAGGGTCCAATCTTTGCATCTTTCAGATGCAGCCCATAGCAATTGGCATGCGATGGATCAATTCACAGAAGCAGTAAAAAAAAAAAAAAAGATCTTACATCAATTGCAGTGAATTTGATGTAGTTATAGTGAAGTTCTTCTGTGCTTCTCCACTTGTAAGATTTCAGGCATCAGCCACTGCAGGCGACAAGAGAAACTCTTGTCACAAGTCAAACTTTTGTCACGTGCAGCTTTCTGTTCACACCTAACCGATAAACCGGAAGTATCAAAGACACATACATCAGCCTATTAAAATGTAAACTACAGAGTTGTGATGCTGCACCATGCTCTGATTGGTGTTGCATGCTGCTAACCTGATGGAGTATCCTAGGTGATTACAGCGATGCAACATGAACACAATGCTTTTTTGACTTTTCCTGAAACCTCTCTGCTGAGCCTCAAGCAGACATAATGGATATTTTTGCAGACCGGGTCTTTCCATATGTGTAAACACCGAATGATTCAGCTCTAACAGTCATTTGTTTACAGGATGTGCAATGCGGTCATGAGCTCATCACCTTTCCCCATTGTCTTTTCTTTGTTGATGTTTATTTCTGAGCCTTTACAATGGACTATTTATTAGGGATTTAGATTTAGATTCAATTAAATCAGAATTACATTTTACAGAATATTTCATCATATAAAAAAAATTGTTTTCTTGGAGGTGAGATGGGGGTGTTATGTCTAGGGAGCTATGGCAAACCCTAACACTCTCCACCTCACCCGCTGAGTCCTTCGCTCCTCTTTCCGTCACATGATCGTTGATTTCATTCATCCTCCAGAACTGACACTCCTTCTGAGCAAAACATTTCCCAACATGAGAGCAGGATACAGATCCGTGGGAGAATCCTTGCTACATACCCATTCATTCATGTCCCTGTTTTAATTTCCAGCTCAGAAACTGATTGCACTGGTCAGCTTGTAGTCGCCTAAATACAAAGATCCAGCTTCAGTACTGCGAAGCAGAGCATTGGCCGGATGAGACTGTCGGCTGATTGCAGGTAGGAACGCTGAACTTTTTATTTATCGCAGTTTGTCGCTGTAGCGTCGCTTTTTCTAAGTATTGAGATGGAGAAAACTCTAAAACTCTTAATTTAATTTCTAGTATAAGCTCCGCACTTTCCCTTTTGTCGTGTTGACGTTAATAAAAAAAAATAGTTTATATAGTTTAAATGTGGAAACCTTGCAATCTTCCCTCTTAACAAAACGATTATTGTTCAGAAAGCTAAATAAATAAATAAATAAATAAATAACTGTTGTGCATTAAATACGAAAAAACAGTTTTGAACGTAACCTCGACCATTATAGACTTTGCTCTTGATGTACAGTCCTGGTTATGAATGGCAATTTGGCGCCATCTTCTGGTCAATTAGGATTTTTGTCAAATATTTTGCAATTAGATAATATATTACTAAGAATCTTGAGTTTATCACTATTTTGCCAAATCTAATGTTGTACATTAAGGAACTAATGTTGCTCTCCAGGTCGGTGGGAATAATGAGACTTTATGTATGTTTGTTTGTTTGTTTTTTTCAGAGGGATGAGCCTTAAACTCATCATGTATACGCTGCTCTTTGCGGCCTCCTTCGCAGTTTCTGAGGTTTTTGGCAGCAGCGAAGAGAGCAGTTCACACAAATGGATCCGGCAGAGGCTGCCAAGGCTGCTGGTTACACATAAATCCATTATGAACGCCGGTTTGCTTAGTGTAGGGATGGAGGACAAAGTGAAATCAACAACTAACACGCTCTGTGGAACAGAGTGTCAGAACAGTCCACCATCATTCAGCCAAACTGAGCAAGAAAGGATTCTGGGATACCAGACCCTGTACGAAAATGGCACGCAAACACATACCGATGTCAGCTTGGAGTGGATGAACAAGACCTCGGGAGGAGCTAGTGCAAAGCCGGTTCATATCCGCAGGAAACGGGAAGTTTTTGGAGCAGATGGGCGCTTTGTCATCTCAGATTCAAACTTTATCACTAACTACCCATTCTCCACAGCGGCCCGCCTTTCCACTGGTTGCTCTGGCGTCCTAGTGTCTCCAAAACATGTGCTAACAGCGGCACATTGTATCCATGATGGCAGAGACTACCTGGAGAATGCCGGGAGCCTTAAAGTTGGATTGTTACAGCTCAAGCATGATGGAGGACTGAGAAGAAAGAGGGGAAGGAGACGAAGGGGTGGTAGGAAACAAGATAAGGTAGATTTGAGGAGAGGAGAAGCGGAAGGTGAAGAGAAAAACAGTGTTGGAGGATTGAGAAAGAGAAGGGGAGGTGAAGGGAGAAGACGAAGGTTAAGGAAAAGAGGCGATGAGGGAGAAGCTACTGCTGGGAAACAGGAATTTGAGAGAAAAGGTAGGAAGGAACAGCGTCTCAGTCGTAACCGGCGTCAGGTGGCACCAGGAAAGCAGGTTGTGTTTCGCTGGTCCCAAGTTAAACAAACCCAAATCCCTCAAGGATGGATCCACACCAACGCCTCCTCCAACTCTGAGTCTCTTGACTACGATTACGCCCTCTTGGAGCTGAAGCGGCCCGTCAAGCAAAAGCACATGGAGCTTGGGGTGGCGCCACCTTTACTACCTCTGGCACGAATTCACTTCTCGGGGTACGACGCCGACAAAAGCCTGCTGGAGGGAAGCGGAGGTGAGAAGGTCGTTTATCGCTTCTGCTCAGTGATAAAGGAGTCGGACGATTTGATGTATCAGCACTGCGATGCTCAGCGCGGGGCAGCTGGCGCAGGCGTTTACATCCGTTTGAGGAAGAAACCCAGACGCAAGGGCGGGAGGTGGAACTGGCAGAGGAGGGTGATCGGGGTGTTTTCAGGCCACCAGTGGGAGGAAGGGGATCAGGACGGGCAGAGGGACTTCAATGTTGCAGTAAGGATCACACCTCACAAATATGCGCAGATATGCCACTGGATTTATGGAGACTCAGGTTTCTGTAACGAGGTTTGAGCTCAGTGATCGACATGAGATAAAGATGATTTTACCGTTTCAGAAAAGTGAAGGTCAGGGATGATGTATCAAGTATTAATTCAACAAAATATAGAGCAATTGAAAAAAAAAATGTGCAGCTTTAAACAGAGAATAACTGTGATCTTGTATATAAAAGGACAACAAAGACCATCCTCATGTCAGCCGTTGACACAGTATTTTTCTAAAGTGCACTGTTTTTACTAATTCTATTTTCAGATTCTTTTTGTTACAGTTACTACAGTACTGTTTCTTCAGTTTCAATGCCAGAAGGAAGCAATATGAATTTTTTTATACATTTAGCCTTACAAAGCATGTCTATGTTTTCAAAATGTTTGTATTCAATAACACAGATAAAATAGTTTTTTTTCGTAGTGTAGTATATATTTTCAATACAGTGGACCCCCACCTATATGCAGTTCAGTATTTATTGATTTTCCTATTCGCATATTGTTTTCTGTGGAATGAAACTTTAAGTTATTTGCAGAAAATGTATCTATTCACAGATTTTATATCTAAAACGCTTCAAAGAAAATGCATTCTGGGAAGCTGAAATCCGCAGGTGCAATGCATATTGACACGCTTTGGCTGCATTCTGCAATGTAGCCAATCAAGGAAAGCCATTTATTGTCCTTGGTGCTGATTGGCTGCAATCTCAAGCAGAGAGATTAGGAAGATTGTGGATGTTACCTTGTCGTACCATTGTGCATATTCAGGCATTTTAAGATATATTTAGTATTTGAACTATTAAGATAGGGAATTATAAGCGATTTTACAGGGGTCTGAAATATTCATAGATTTGTGGGTGGTTGTTCCTATAAGCCTTCAAATACCAGCGATCCACTGTAGTTTAGTTCTGGATTACATTGCAGGTGTGGCTTTTGCTGAGTCTCTCACAAGACGTAAACATTTCACATCTGTTCAAACTCAGTGAATCTGTTCTCATTTTGACATTGCATCATGATTGCATTGTCTTTTGGTCTTTGAAAAAGGACTCCCCTGTTCCTTCTCCTGTCCATCTCGAATAATTTTTACATGTAAAATTGTTGTTGATGTTATTGAACTCTGAATTAAAGCAAATATCAGCATTCCTTATACACTTGTATGTTGTTTGCTTGTTTGTTGTGAAAGGACAACTTGCTGTATTATCAAAAGTTTAAAGGACTGACCTTTTAGAGTTTTATTTCCTCTTCCTGTTTTCGAGAACCATCTCCTGTCCAAGACAATTATAGACTCAACATGTTATATAGCCTCAGGAACAAGAGCATGGTGAGTCAGAGCAAAAATTAGCATTTATAATGTTTTCTCTGCTATCAGGTGAAGAAAATAAGAGTCAATCGTGCAACCTCACATAAAACAAACACAGCAAAGAACAAAGACCGGAATTAAAATCTGAATAAAAAAAGATTTCACTTGTCTACATTCTCCTTGCTCTTAGATTTTGTTCAGTAAATCCACATGAACATGTTCACACCATAATTAATACTGCATACAAAATATCCTCCGAAATGCTAAACCCTGAAGAGAAAATCCACAGGCTACATACACAATTGATTATCTTTTACCTATGAGGACCAAAACCAGCTGGATTATGATAAAAAAGCTCCACTATGCCTGAAAAGTTATTTTTTTTCAGTAAGTAGATTCACAAAGGGAAACAGATTGAATACAATAACTACGCAGAGACTGATGTTTAAGTGTTTATTTGTCTTAAGGTATTTTTCGGCTTACATCTAACATTTAAGATTAGAATATTACATCATATCAATAACAAAAAACGCATTTTTATACTGATGTTGACTTAATAAAAAAAGTCTGTTTAATGTTCTGCTTCAAAGTTGTTACTTTTTTGAAAAAGTACTTTTGATCTCAAGAAGCAGCCTCATTGGAACCTATGTACTTTTTAATAGAATATTACAGCATTTTCACAATATATATTTGTTGTATATTTAAGCTCCTTAGTACAAAAGCCCACACAGAAAAAAACTTACTAAAAAAATACACAATGCAAGAGATTAACTTTCTGGAAATACCTCAATATTCTACACAAAAACAAATGATTAGATTGTTAGATGAGTTTATACACCATTTGGAGCTACAGAAAAGTACAGAATGTCTTTTCTGCAGCTCCAGATTCTGTTTGGTGCTTACAAATAAAGTCAATTAATCCCAGTCATTTATACATCCCAGTTGATCCTAGATATCAGATAATACAGTCACGTAAAGTTTGTCTCGCAGCTTTCACTGCTCTTGATGGAGCACGTAGAGACAATAGAAAATAACTTACAATGTTTTCTTTGACTTTGCAGCAATCCCTGATGATGGTACGTGATGACGATGTTTCTAAATGTCTTACTGTTTTCAAACTCTACCTATGTCTGGCGACTGGGTGGTTTGGAGGCTCTGGCTTTGCACCTCTTCCTTTTTTTTTGGCAAACTACGCACATTTTGTTAGATGTGAAGGCATACAGAAGAGGATTCAGGCAGCTGTTTACAAATGTAAGTGCCTTAGCAATGTCCCATGTGTCCTTGCAAAACTTCAAAAGTATTTTATTGTTCAAACACATAGCAGCCACACCCAGGATATGTATGACATGATATGGAGTCCAGACGACAAAATAGCTCACAATGATGCTGGTTATCAGCCGAGTCGTCTGTGGATTGTTGAAAAAGGCAGCCTGGTTCACCGTCCTGTGAAGGCGAACGTACGAAAAAACTACGAGAGCAAAGGAGCAGAAATCAAACACAGTCTCAGCCAACAGTACAACCACACCCTGAGTGGTTGAAGTATACTTAGATTGACAAACTATCGGCTGCTGATTTGTTGGCAGCTGTCGAACCACCAGAGCAGGGACGGCCAGGATGACCGCAGCCATCCAGAGTAGAGCCAGCATTGCTCTCTTCTTCACCTGTGGAAATCTTCTCTGATGCACCACTGTCAGGTAGCGCTGGACGCTTAACACAGTCACAGTGAGCTTGCTGCCATAAATGCTGCAGTACACAAGGTAGGTTAGGATCTTACAGGCCGCCAGACCAAAGTTCCAGCCATACAGCAGCGGGTAAATCCATGGAGAAAGGGTCAGCAGGCACAGCAGGTCAGACACAGCCAGGTTTAGCATCAAAGTCCGGCTCAGACTGGAAAGATGGTGCCAGTTAGGCTTGAGAAGAATCACTGCGATGTTTCCAGAAACTCCCACAATGCAACAGAAGGACATCACCACCACTGGGACAACACCTTTGGACTGCAAGGAGGGAGGAGGCAGAGGTCCTGAAGAAGACAAGTTAGAAGGCTCCATGCTGAGACTTGCTGATAAGGTCGAACTCTGACTTACTGAGGCTGCTGAAGCAAAGAGGAACTAAGAAATAATGACGCTGACGTAAATCGTCTAATCTATATCAGTGACGTGTTTCTTCTGATGAACCAATCTTAACGAAATTCTTATAACCCTTTATTTAAGATACACTTATATGGCTCTTTTAAAAATGTTTTATAGGGGGCGTCAAGTATTTAGAGATTTCATATTTGTTGGCTGTTCTGGTCCCTAACGCCTGCAAATCCCAGGGATCCACTTTAGCTTATAGTCCTGGATTTCCTGCAGGTACTCAGTAATTCTTCCATTTATGTGCTGAAGCTCTGAAAAGAACAAGGAGTGAGAACTTCACATCTGTTCACACTCGGAGAATCTCATTTTGACGCTGCACGATAGCATTTCATTCTCTTTGTAAAACAACTCTGCGCTTGATCCATATATGTGACCTGTCCAGTCAGAGCATATTTCATCAATTACAGTCATTGTTGTTATTAGACTTTAAATTAAAGCAAATATCAGCATTCCATAAACACCAGCTTGTTGTTTATTTGCTCTGAAAGGACAACTTGTTCTATTGTCGGTTGTGTGATGAATTGACCTTTTAGGGTTTTTATTCCTTTTCCTGTTTTCAAAAATGGCCTCCTGTCTTAAACAAATATAGTCATTACATGTTATAAGCCAACCACAAGAACAAGAGCATCAGAAAATCAGAGCAAAAATATGTGTTTGTAGTGTCTTATCTGCACTGAGGTAAAGAAAAGAAGAGTGAATTATGTGGTCGCACAAAAAGTTTCACTTCACTTGTCTACAGTCTTGTTGCTCTTATGTCCTATAACCACTTTAGATTTTCTTTCAGTTCAGTAAATCTATTATTTAATATTTAAGAAAAAATCTCTAATGATTACTACTACTAATAATATCTAATAATAAAATAGATGATTTAAAAAAATAATTGAGTGTATTTTTCATATTGGTGAAGTTAAAGCCACAAACTTTTATGTATTTTAATAAGTTTTTAATTGATACACCAAAAATAGAGAAGCTAATGGTCAATTGGAGACACAATGACACACAGCTTTCAAATTCTTATACAAATAAAGATCTGAAAAGTGTAAAAAAATAGTACATGTGTTCAGCCACTACAGAAGCATTATCATGTTGTAATGAAAAGTTTATCATCACAATATGACAAGTTTAACAAAATTTATAATTTCGATGAGATACTTTACTTGCTTTATTAATAGAGCTATGCACACAGATAGAATAACGCAAAAATGTTTAAATTCTACCCGACTGTTTACAAAGCTTTTCAACTAAATACAAAAAAAATCATCTTCTTTTTGCTTTGCAGATAGTTAGATAGGTGCTTTTTTTTTTCTTAGATTCACGAGTTTTGTACACATTTCCGTTCTTCAATTTAAGGTTTATTTAAGAGCAGAAAAAGCACAAAAATATCAACAAAATACTCT